GGGGGGGGGGGGGGGGGGGCGTGGCCCCCAGGGAGAGCGTTTTAGGGAAAAAAGTTATACCAACAAAACGTCTTTTTCTGACCCAAAGAATCGACTGCTTCAATATTCGCACTTAATCCTGGAACACCCTGTATAAAGGGCCTCTACCTAAGGACAGAACGGCGCCCTCAGGAGATTGAGTAACGCTAAAGGAGGTTCCTGGCTTGAGGGCGGAGATGCAAATCTTAACTTGCGGCCTTAACCTCGATCCCCCATGTGGGGGCGCATACTGCGACGGGCGGAAGTTGACCCAAAGGTGGACTCGGACCCGGGACTCCCTCCGACGATAATGAAGAAGCAAGTAAGTTAAGACTAAGTTGTTGTTCGGCTGGCCTTAATTATTCAATGGTGCGGAAGTAGGACTTGCCCAAAGTTGCCGAATATTCCACGTAAAACCAATTTACTCCGGAAAAATGTCCACGATCGCGCTCCGAACGACAACGCTGAGCCGGGCGTTATTGCCTGGCCGCGGGTCTAGCGGGCCAAAGTTCCCGGACCTTTGTGAATGAACCTCACGTGCGACACATGAGTTTCCGAGTGAAACGTTGGAAAGAGACACTTAAAACGCTCGTTCATTAATTGCATGTTTAAGTGACCCCTTTTTGGGAGTCATTCATCGTCTGTTGAGTACGCCTCCCGATAGTCGGAAGGGTGTCGGGGAGACGAGGGGGGAAGGGGGGCACTTTGCACTTGAATTGACAGGCCACGACAGATGTGGCCTCTGCGAGGGCTCGTGCCGAAAAAAAAACTGGAGTAGGTCAACGAGGACACTGTATCTGCGGTGCAGAGGATGCGCGCCGGGGGCCAGATAAATTTCCTGGTGTCGAATTTCTTTGTTCCGAGCGATAAAACGTGAGCAAGTTGCGTGAGCTGGCGGGATTGGGGCTCACAGCCCCCTTGCGCATCATCAAAGAAAAGCCTTCGAAAAGAGTACATAAGGGTGTAGTGGCGGATTCAGAGTGCGTTGGAAGGGGGGGGGGGTCTGGAGGGATCCATGATTCCCCGGAAAATTTTCGAAAAAGTAGCCCCTCCCAGATTGAATTCCTAGGCAGTTTTCGCATACAATCCTCGGCCTCCTATAGTATAGTGGTTGTAGCGCTAGCTCCATGATCGGGAGATCCCGGGTTCGATTCCCGGCCAGGCGACCCGAGTTTGATGGTCTCAAACAATGGTTGCTTGTGACTGGTTGTTAGGGACGGAGGGAGGACGGGACAGAAGCGCAGGATTAGCCCTTGTGGGCTACTACTGAAGTAGTAAAAACAAAACAAAAAAAATTTGTGTATTATTTGAAAGTTGAAAAATTGACGAATTATACCTCTTTTTGAGAAATACTTGGGTACCTATATGGCAAACAGGAAATCGGAACGGCGCAGTTTACGGCCGCGGGTTCATGCAAGGTTGCCGGATTGTGAGATATAACGAGGACTTTTTACATTGGGTCATATGGGGAAAAGCTGATTGCAGCGTTATCTGGCAACGTGGTTTGACGGCTCTGGGTGTCGAGTCGAGCCTCCAGCGAGGCAGGAGCCCTTTTTCTGCGAGAGTTCGCGGTTGCTATCAGTGGCGCTTCTGTCACTGGTGACACACTGAACTGACATCGCGACATTTCGCCACGGTCACGACTCTCTTGACGTGGGCCCGACACAATAACGCCCCTGCGTAGCACCGCACCGCGCCGCGCCGCTTTACTTTTAGAGGTGAATTTATGGCGGGAGTACCTAAACAAACATCGAGATCTCATGTAAATTTTGCCGAGATAATGGTTAGGGGCGTTTTTCCTTAGTGGCAGTA